TGCGATCTCACACGCACGGTTCTGGGACACGACAGAAGTTGCTCCCAGGAGAGAACATTATTGGTAAGTCCTTGGTCGTAGGGAAAATCTTTCTGCTGCGTGGTTGTGGCTTTAGCACAAGCCGGTCATCAAACAGGTAACTTAAGAACCAGAGTCTTAACACCGTGAAGAAAAGTCATGCCTAGATCTCCTGTTGAGAGATTCACTTACTGTGCAAGAGTGTTAGACCCTTTGTATCAGGCTGTCAACTTGTAAAACAAACAACAACCACCAAAACAAAACCCAATTCTGAATACTGGCAGTACTACCAAACACATACTCTACATTAAAGTTTTCCTTAGGCCAAGGTCTGTGTTTCAGCTTGAGATCTACTTCTAGCTGATGCAGAACGTTGGTTTTTTAAATACCTAATGATAAGCATTACCTTTGCCAACTTGGAACAGAGCTGGTGTGCAGGATCTTAATCTGAAACCCGTGTTAACTGTTTGGAAATGTTACACTGTTACATAGTTTACACACAGTAACATTACAGCATTCATGTCCCAGAAGCCTCTGCCTGCCATTATGATAACATTTTTTTTAATGTAACTATTTTTTTCTCATTCTAAAGCCCGGTACTGTTTGAAGACTTGATACATTTATGTCGGTTAATGTCTGTGAAGTATCCTTCTCTGACTAGAAGAATGTTGGCTAGAAACTACAAGATAGCAGCTACGTGGGAAAGAGGTTAGTTGCTCCTGCGGTGGAAGCATTTAGCTCTCTCCATTAATAGAAGAGGGGTAACAAAGCCGCCAGCTTTAAGGCTGAGGACTTGGAGAAAATGAAACAATTTCTAGAACCAAGCAATTCTTTCTGTTTTAACTAGTGCTGTAAGTGTGGGCAGGCTTGGATGGTGGCATGATACTTGCCCTGAGGAGATTGTTAGGGTGTTAGACAATATTGACAGGCTGGCAGGAGAAGAGAACCAGTGTTTTAGAACTGATTGTTTATTTTTTGTGTCTGAAATCTGTACTGTTGTTTTTCTAAGTATGTTTAGTTAAGAAACACCAGCAATTAACACTAGTATTTTAGAAGAACCTATAGCTGAGCTACTATTTAACATGAGTTTGGAGCTGAGGGAGAGAGAGTGAGCCTTGCAGAACAAGGACTTGCTAGAATGCTGCTGCCCAAAAGGAAACGTACGTTTTTCCCTAATCCCTAATCTTATTTCAGCACTATTTCAACGTAGCCTCATTTCCCTCCCCAGAATCCATTCTCCTTCAGGTCCGAGGCCTGAACGGAATACTTATGAACTCTGTGTCCCCAATACCACCAGTAGCCTCCAAGGAGGAGATACTGGCCACTGAAGGACATGTTCTGGAGACCTTCTATCCCATCTCTCCTACAATTGATCTCCAGGAAGTGAATGTGTACCAAGAGCTCAACCATACAGGTAAATCTAGCTGTCGATAACTAATTTTCTGTCAGACTAAGCATTCAGGCTGGCCTGGAGTCCTTGCCCTTCTGCGAGACAGCTGTGGGTAGGGAGCAAATGAGGGGACAGAGGAGCTGGGCACAGGGTGTGCAGTGCAAGCACTCCAGACCTGTGGCAAGGATATTGTGGCCTAAGCCAGACTGGAGAGAACAACTTAAATACCAGCAAATGACTTTAACAGTTCCTGAAGATACAGGAGAAAACATTGGCTGTGTAGTCTCTTACTGAGCGATTTCTGACGTGATTATCTGCCGTTTAGGTTTTAGAGATGGTTATCCATTCTCTCATCCTCACACTCTGTTCTTCCTGGAATCGGCCAACATTCGTCCTAAAAGGTTCAGACCAGAACAGCTTCGTGCTAAAATGCTGATGTTTGCTTTTGGCAACGCGCTGGCAAAGGCTAAGGTGCTGTACGGGGTACGTATTGGAGACTGCTGCTGGCCTCCTGGGCCTTTGGTCTTTCTCTAAAGCTGCAGCTAGTGGAAAGAGTCATGAAATTCCCTTGTTGTGGCATGTTACAGTAGTTTTCAAATCTGAGCTGCTCAGTCCAGAGGTCTAACCTTCAGGTATGGTTCTGCTAATCCAGAAAAAAATCTCTCAGCAGCGAGCATGTTCATGATGTAACACGCGTTAGAGTGGTAATGGGTAGGAACCAGGGAGTGGGTTTAACTGTAAAACTCATCCCACAGCTCAGTATGTAAATCGATACTTCATTGCTGGCTGAAGGAGGAATTTTAATTAAAATACAAAATCTACATTCAAAACTTGTTTGACTAGAGTAATTTTCTGGGCAAGGTAACAATACATTTATTAAAATCTTGGCATTAAACCAAGTAGAAGATGCAGAATCAGCAAGTACTCATACAATTTCTGTGGTAACTGGCTTTTTAAACATTCCCCCTCTCTTTCTTTCCTAGAATGATCCCAAGGTTTTGGAGCAGCCAGTAGTGGTGCAGAGCATTGGCACAGATGGCCAGCTCTTCCAGTTCATGGTGTTCCAGTTAAACACAACAGACCTTGTCTCTAGCGATGGCATAAAAAATCTAGTCTGGATTGATGCTGATCAGAATCTGTATGAAAAAGCCCAGTGTATTCCTGAAGTCAAGAAGAGAGTTGTTACGGTAAGCAAAACTTGGGAAATGATCCTGGAAATCCTACCCTCTCACCTCTGCCGGAGGTTTGGGAGCTGGCGTAGAGCTGAAGGCACCTGACACAGGTGCTGGCCTTGTTCTTACTGAAGCGGGTGTTACTGACGGGGTGTATTTGTAGCGCTGATGTACTGCAGAGCGTGCGCTCCACACGCCAAGCTTAATATGAACTCCTACATAAAGATATCCCCATCTGTAATCTACCAGCTCATAATACGCTTGTTTAAAATCAACTCGTGCTCTGATGAAGGAAGTGCTTACGTGCAACTGTCAGGTTCGCTGTGGAGTAAATAGAGCGTGGTGCTGTCAGCCCCGGTTACGCCGGGAGGACGTCTCGGTGCGATGGGCAAAGGGGTTTTTTGCTGTCTGAGATTTATACCGGTGGAAGGACCCGTGGACAAAACCCATCTGGGGAGGGAGAGCACAATTTGGAACCTACCACGTCTGAAGTCTTACTCAAGCGTATTCAAAGCCATTGTTTGTCTACATTAATCACTTCACAGCAAACTGAGCATCCATGTCTTTTTCTCTGCAGAAGCCCGCTGGAATATATGGCTTTCAGCCAGACACATTCAAGAAGTTTCTGGCACTGTATCTGCATGGAACTGTGTGAAATTCAGCTCGAATGAAAATACTTCACCAACTGTACCTGCTGCTTCTCTTTGCCAGAACCATCACATAATTAAAGAAAGGTGGATTAATTCACTTTCAAAAATAAATTATATTGTTACCAAAAGTAAAAAATTTTTTAAACTGAATCGTGCGTGAAGAAACTCTTTCATTTTAGGGGCTCACCTCTGGATTTGGGTTAGAGAGAGTCATCAAATGCATCCTCCTGCACTCTTCCACCGTTGCCTAGAAAGAACATAAACCAGTCATTATTCCTCTACGCAGGTTCTGCTCTCGGGGTGCTTTTGCACCGAGCTAGACTCAAACCTATTTTCCGAGTTTGCTTTGAGTACCTCTGAACGCAGAGTGTGTGGAAGAGACTTACAAAGCTTCAAGAGGGGAGCCTGAGACATGAGCCTTTTTCATTCTGCCTGGCTTTTACTTTTGTTTTACTCCTGGCTGCTTTGGGATGTGTCGTGCTGCCCCGCGCTTAGTTCCCAAAGCACTTAATCGGTGAGATGGCTTTGTTGGATCTATAGAACCGCAGTTCTTTTATCCCCCAATCCTGGATGAAGAGACCTATCCATTTTGGGAAAGTGGTGTAGAATGTAGCGTGAAACTTTGGTGCCTGGTAGCTGGTATTTGCAGCTAAAAACACAAAGGAAGAGTTTCTTCCTGCCACACAGAGTTAACTGAGCAGGAAGCAGGTTCTTTTTGAGACGGGGGATTAGTGTGGTTTTTGTAAAATGAAGGCTAAATTAGCTCCAGCCAAATGGAGAATGTTTTGCAGTTCTGCACTGATACCCTCCAGCACATGGGAATGAATAGGACAGCCTGCGCTATTTTAAGGTGTGGAAGAGAATATTTCCAAGAAATTAATCTCACTCCAGTGTCTTGTGTCAGAGGCTGGTCTGTGCTTTGTGATCCTCTCTGGGTGAACACCCCACTTGGGTGTTCCAGTCTCAATCCATCAGAGTCTTGATCTACTCTGCAGGTTTCAGAAAACCTAGGCAAATTTGAGATCAACAGTTGCACCTGGTAAATTGGGATGCATCAGCTGTAAGTTAAATTAACAAATCCCTCAATAGTTAGGAGAAGATGCCTGAAAGAGAAATAATCCAGTAAGTGTTGCATTGATCTAAATCATGTTAATTCTGCCTGCTCCGGGGATGCCTAATTGAGCTCATCAATTTAAATCTGCTCAGATCTATGACTTGCACCCAGGTATTTAGGAATATATTTTAATACGTTCATGCTCTGTGGAGGACTGTTCCAGTAGGTGTTTGTTTCTCAGGCTGTCGATGCTCTGCTATGTCACACGGACATGAACGGCTCTAGGCAACAGCCCTCGGACTATTGACATCCCCTCACCCTTCCAGCTTTGGGTCGTTAGCGAATGGCAGAAGTGATAAGACGTGGGATAGTCAGCAGGGGAACGAGGCTTCAGCGGGTTGCAAGAGGCATCAGGAAGCCGCTCGAGGTGAGGGGACCGTACACAAACGTGTGAGACCGTGGCCCTGGTTTGCTCAGGGCACAGCTGATCTCGCTGCGGTGAGGGGGGAAGCGATGTTCACGTGTCGCTGGAAGGAGCAGCTGATCCTCGTGCTGGGTTAGCTCCTCTGAGGTCCAGGAGGGAACCTAAGGGGGGGCAGAGCGGGGCCCCCAGCTCAGCACCTGGGGTGGATGCTCAGGTTGGTCCGTTGTGGTGCAGGTATGAGGTCTGTGACCCAGGCAGCCCCCGCAGAGCAGCCCCCCTACCACGGACAGCCGTGCGTGGTGTCCTGCTGGGCTTCCCAAGCACGCTACGTGTGGGTCCGTTGGCCCGCTCGTTCCTGCAGCATGACCTGCTGGGATCGGCCGAGCTGAGGGAGGTGGGACCGAGAGCAGGACAATGGGTCGCACAGGCACATCTGGGTTGGCATCAATAAGTTATAAAGGCTTGTCAGCAGATGAATGGCATTACCTCAGCACGGACAGAGAACCAGGCATCAACTTTTAATGAAGGGCAGCCGGGGAAGCAGAACATGCCAGAACAGGGTGGCGGGAGACTGAGAAGACCCAGCAGTGCCCGGCCGAC